ATTTTTTGCAGCAGTGGGTGGGTAACTACAGATAATTTTTTCTCTGCACATCTAAACTTAATATGGAATGTTTTTTTCTGTTTTTACCACTTAAGAACTTAGGAGGATGCCTGAATCCAACCACTGGCCCATTTAGTTCCATGTTGTTTGTAGGTGCTGTCACACGGCAAAATTAATGTAGTTTGACATCACTTTAACTGTCATGGCTCCATCCTATGGAGTCCTGGGAGTGGTAGTTTTTTGCAGCACCAGAGTTCTCTGACAGAGGTGAAATATCTCCCAAAACTACAAATCCCAGAATTCTGTAGCACTGAGCCATGACAGTTAAAGCAGTGTCAAACTGCATTAATTCTGCAGTGTAGACACAGCCATGTTTCTTGCCAGTGCTTCAGACAGGAGTCGATTAGTCCTACTTGGAGATGCCAGGGATTGAATATAAGGCTTTTGTATGCAGAGCATGAGTCTTAGCACAATACAGCAGCCCATAGGGCACAGTGTCCCTTGCTAAAAATAAATAAAAAGGAATAAAAAAAAACAGTTGCTGGAAGTATTTGGCAAAAATCAAATGTGGTATAAGTCATGCCATGAAGTCTTTCTCTCTTTTAAGAAAGTTAGACAAGAGAATTCAGAAAAACGCTTTATTGGTCTGTTCCAGTAAAAAGTTTGAAACAAAAGAATTCAGTTATACATAGATTTTTTTATTGGTTTAGATCTCTCAAAATTACATATAAATTGAATGTTAGAAACAGGAAAGCTTGCATTCAAATTTCAGTATGATGACCTAATGCCAGCCACTATTTCTTAGCCTAACCTCTTTCATAACAGGGGAAACCAAGTGTGTTGCTCTGACTGCCTTAGAAGACAGGTGGAGTTAGGTATGAATCAAATGCATGTATGCATGTTTAATTAATGTATTCTTAATATTAGCAACAGAAAAATTTCCCCAATAGTAAACAGAATGTGGAGGTATGGAGTTTTTTACTAGAATTCTCAGAATGATGATGTATCTTTTGAAAAGTACCTTTCTTAGGCTTTATCATAAGGGGGGGTTGCAGACTGCCAGAAATAGTGCAAATTGAGTCCACTTTTAGGGTTATGGTTATGGTTAGGGAATCATGGGAACTGTATTTTATTGTGGCACCAGAGCTCTCTGACAGAGAAGGCTCAATGTCTCAGGGGGGAAAAAACAATTCCCATGATTCCCTAGCACTAACCTTAACCCTAAAAGTGGACTCAAAAGGCATAATTCTCTAGTATTGACTTTCTCTTGTCTTCTTGACTCAGATTGCTGATATAGATATAAAATTGCTAAAACAGATCAAGAAAGGGATAGAGATGTAGAGAGGCAGAGGTAGATGGAGAAATAGGCAGAAAAGTAAATGTTGATACAGATTTAGAGAAGATAAATGATGCCACAAACAGAGGTTTCAGACATCACATTGCATTTTAAGCTACTTTGAAGCCCAAATTTGGGAAGATATGAGCATGAATCATCATCCTCAAGATAATCCCATCTAAGACAATGCTTTTCAGTAAAGTCAGTTAACATATTCATCTGTCCCATTTCTAGAAAACACAAAAGTGATTTCTTTCATACACACACAAACAAACAAATGCATGAGAGAATGAGCCTTGCCAAAGATTGCTTCTCTGTGTGCATGCACTAGGGCTATCATTCATTAGGCTGCAATCCTATATCCTATATCCACTGAATGCAATGGGATTGGCATCTGAGAAAACATGTACATAGTTGTAGAGTTGACAGATTGATCAGAAGTGGTGTTGTCAATTGCATAAATCTGTTTTCAAGTAAAAACAATAGTTTCAAAACAGGAAGTATGGTTTTTTAAAGTATTTTAAAATAAGATTGCAACAAGGGCAACAGCAATAATAGCTTTATCAATAAGGTGATTGTGTGTGAAGTAAACATATGCCTAAAATGGGGGAATCTACACTAGGCTGTACCACCTCTGACTTCAGGTGGAGGCATGTCTTTTTAAAAAAGCTTCACTACACAAATAGTTTCCCCACTGTTATAAATTCAAAACTAACCTCGATTGCTATTATGCTTCATTGCTTTCCCTTTGCAAGACATATCAATAAGAGAGCAAGAAGAAATATGATCACCACCACCACCTGTAGGCTGAAGCGATTACATTCTACTGTATCATCTCTCAAAACTGTTTGCTCATGCTTTTTTGCACTTGAAGTAGACCAAGTCTGGGTGGGATGGAAGGAAGGATGAAAAGGTATGTTTCCATACAGATTAGAAACCCCTAAATGTGATAGGACTCCCTTAATTCTTTCAATCATTCCAGTATACAGCTTTCTGGATCTAGGGAAGGAGACAGAGAAAAAGAGAGAGAGAGAGAGATGGGATGATCTTGTCCATATTGTGTGTTTGTATGTCTATGACAACTTTTGCCAGCCTGATGTCCCTTAGGTATGTTGGACTACAACTCCCATCCTCAGCATGCCCACAGTAGGTGATGGGCACTGTAGTGAAAGATGTAGTAGTGGAAGGCTAGAAAGGGATGTTCTAGGTCTAGGATGTCTCCTCCACCATCATTTCCTTGCCCCCTGACCTTCATCCTCCAAATTTGTTGTTGTTTCTCCCAACCTTTAAGAAAAGAGGGAGAAGGATAATAGTTGCCTAACATCAGTCAGTGAGATAATCCAAGAGGGAATTTAAGGAACCCATTTTCCCAGCTCATCTGCTGCACCAACTATTCTCATGCTGTGAGATCTTGTAGCACCTTTGAAAGAAATAAATTAATAGTATGAGCTTTCCTAGACTTCAGTCCACCACCTTAGATGGCATCTGAGGAAGTAGACTGAAATCTAGGAAAGCTCATGCTGCCAATTTCTCTTTTTTCAGTTAGTCTCAAAGGTGCTACAAGATTATATACTGATTCTACAGAGTAACGGGGCTATATCTTTGTATTCTCATCCTGATCTCGAATATACAATCACCTGGACCAAATTTGGTCATGTCTGCTCAGTAGGGTTTGAGCAGACATGACCAAAATTTCACTGTATCTTACATTACTGCTCTGAAAAATGGGTGTGCTCTGGTGGACGACAGCTATTGGGGAAGTTCACACATTACACTGAACACGTGTTCATAAAGGAAGTATACTGGTTCAGCCTTTGGAGAAAGAGATGGTGGCCTTGTCTGCCTGCAAATCTCTGCTGAAGTCCGGGTATAAGGAGGCTGAAGGACCTAAATACCGTAAAGGCACCAGATCCCATCTGATCTCGGAAGCTAAGCAGGATCAGCCCTGGTTAGTACTTGGATAAGAGACCGCCAAGGAATACCAGGTGCTTTAGGCTATATGTGACAGAGGAAGGAACTGGCAAACGCAGCTCTGAGCATTCCTTGCCTAAGAAAACCCTATGAAATTTATGAAGTCGCCTTGAAGGCACATACTCACAGATCAACCCTACCTGGGCAGGATGAACCCAGGCAGGATTGTGTGAATTGTTCCTAAATGCGGGGGGGGGGGGG